AAAATGTTTATTCTACATTTTTTGGTTGCAGTGTTCTCTACATATGATTTGGATCAGATCTGCAAAGTTTGTCATATTATTCCACATTGTTATGAATAATACTTCATATTGTCACTAATATCATAATAATCCATGTTGTTACTAATAACTGTATCTGTTTATCCCACTAATTACAATAACAGTATCTTAACTATGAATATAAACTTATCTATCCTTTTAATTATGTCAGTATTTGCTTTGTGCATTTTTAGGCTATGTTTTTAGACACATACAAATACAGATTCTATTTTTCTGGTGTATTTACTCCTTTATCATTATGAAATAGCCTTCTTCATCTCCAACAGTGTTACTTTTTTAAAAGTCTATTTTATGTAGTATTAACAGAATCACACCAACCTTCTTTTGGTTCATATTTTCATGGTATCTTTTCCATCCTCTTACTCTCAATTTGTCTCTATCTTCATGCTTAATGTTTGTCTTTGTATAAAGCATATAATTATTGTTTGTTATTTTATCTACTCTGCCTTTCAAATGGAGGAGTAACCTGTTTACATACAAAATAATTGTGATATTTCTGTGTTTAAGATCATCTTCTATTTGTTTTCTCTTTGTCTTATTTGTCCTACGTTCCTTTCTCTTTCCTTTTACCCCTGATTTGAATGAATCGTATTTCTCTTTGTGTCATTCTATGTCCTTTCTTCCTCTACTAGGCTATTATATTTTTTAAACCATTCTTTCTAGAGGCAATCCTACAGATTGCAACATGCATCCTTGATTTGATAAGGCAATAAACATTAGTGCTATTATCACTTCCTGGTTAATTCAAAGATCTTAGAACACTTATACTCTATTGACCCTTCCAACTTTTTGCTACTGTTTATATCTTAAGCTTCTTTTAATCTGCAACTGCCAACTCCCATGTCTTTCATGACATTGATTTTTGAAGAGACCAAGGCAGTTGTCTTGTAGAATGTCCCACCTACAGGATTTGTTTATGTTTCTTGGTTTCATTTAACTTGGTCCTCTAGCCTATCTTCTTTTGGGAAACCAAAAGTGAGATGTAGCTAAATTAGATGTAGGGAAGACATATTTAACAATACAACTTTAAAGGCAATGCTCTGAATTTTATATTGTCATGTCAGGGACACAGTCATTCTAACCTCATAATATTGTATAGATTAAATGAGATGGCATACGTCAAGTGTCTGTGATGCTATCTGACACATAGTAAATAAAGAGCACAGTTTCTCACCCTCAGCACTGTTAATATTTTAGATCAGATAATTTTCTGTTGTGGGAACTGTCCTGTGCATTGTAGGATGTTTAGCAGCATTCCTGACCTCCACCCATTTTACACCAGTAGCATCCTCCAGTTGTGACCACCAAAAATGTCTCCAGACATTGCCAAGTATTCTCTGGGTGGGGATGGGGGGGTGGATTGGTCCCAGTTCAGAACCACTGGTAAGGAACAAAAACCCAAGTATTTGATAAGTATTCCACAAGCACTAACCATCATTCTTTGTGCAAAGCTCTGAGATTAAGACCTAATGAAACAGGATTTCTGACTTCAACACATTTATGGTTTTGGGGAGGAACAATCAGGCAAATAGAGAATTAACACATGGTATGATCAGTGCTGTCATAAGGACAATCATTGCTGTATGTGAAGAGAAGCACCTTACTCAGTCTACAGCAGAGGCCTTTCATGGAAGAATGAAGAACTCAGATTTGAGACATGAGGGACAGAATTCTCTCTCCTTCTTCATTAAGGCTCAAGAGATCGAACCAATAAAGACCATTCATAATGAAAATCAGTACTTCAGAAATGAATTATCAAAACCCATAACATTTCTAGGCTGTATTTCAAAGTATGACAAAGATGAATCTACCACAAAATATGGAGACACAGGTAAGGGAAGCCAGGAGTGAGAGCTACAGACGGCACAATCAGCCATCTACTTCTTTAGCTGTTAACAACAAATATGTTACATTTTCCCATTCTATAGCTCTCATCTGTCTGGGAGCACACTGGAAAACCAACACCAGAATAACACATCAGGATAATGTCACATACACCCTCCCCCTCACTGACACTGGGAAACCCTAACTAAAGGGGCCCATCTAACTGTGCACACTGAGCCAGCTACCTCTACTTCCATTCTCCTTCTTGCCCAACCATTTCTTTAGATCACTTGCACTATAAGTCAGAGACTGGTTACCTTTTCACTAACCCCATTTCTTCTATTTCCTGGGCATATAGCTTGATTACCTTTCCTAGCCTGTCCTGCAGATTACTGTGGCCACGTGAACAATTTCTAATCCAAGGTATATAATGGTGAAAGTGATATATACTCTTTCTAGATCTTGCCCATGAAAACCTTACACGTGCAACCCTTTTCCAGTGGCTTGATTCAGACACACATTGGTACCTTGGAAGCCAAGGTTTAATGATAGCGGAGCTGAAGAGTGAAAGGAGTCTGTGTCCCCAACTCTCCCCTTGAAGGGGAGAGGCCCAGAAACCAAGAACACCCTTACTGGGTTTGATATGAATAAGAGGTAAACTTCTACAGTGTTAAGCTGCGAGATTTGAGGGTTTATCTAGTACAGCAGCTAGCATTAGCTTCTTAATACACCAAAGTAGAGAAACAGCCAGGTTTACCCTGCAATTGTAATCCCCTCAGTCCCCCAGACATGCACAGTATTTCAGCTGTGTTCACCATGCCAAAGAAAAGTGCCTTTTGCCAGCATATTTCACTGATATTCCCTGGAGTTAAGTGCGTATGTGAGAGGCCATTTGCAGGGCCACTGCTAAAGATCACACTTCATCTAATGTCCGAGCACAGAAGTATGAAAGGGTGTGGGACTTTGATGTCAGACAGATGTGGCTTTGAATTTTGTCTGCCCCCCACCCTTGACATTTCTTTGGCTTCACCTCCCTGAGCCTTTGTTTCTTCATCTGCAAAATGAGGGTAGTAACACCTCACAGGAATTCTATGGGGATAAAATAACAGATAGCACATAAAACATCAGCATAGTTCCCAGCATGTCTAAGGCACTCAATTAGTTCCCTCCCAACAATCATGAAATGAATAAATTAGGAGTTTGCTTACCCTTCTAATCAGAAGACTAAGCAAGAGGTGGCCTTTTCACAAAGGACTGTACAGGGGCGCCTGGATGGCTCAGTCGGCTCAGTGTGCAACTCTTGATTTTGGCTCAGGTCATGATCTTACAGTTCATGAGTTTGAGCCCCACATCGGGCTCTTTGCTGGCAATGCGGAGCCTGCTTAGGATTCTCTCTATCCTCCTCTCTGTCCCTCCCCCACTCATGTTCCCCCCACCCTCTCAAAATCAATAAACATTAACATAAAACACAAGGGATTATATATTTTACTCTTCCATAGAAATGTTTAATATCTCATACAAAGGAACCAGGTTCAATAAATACTTTTATTTTTCCATTGGTCTAAATAAGGAGAAGAATTTAAAGTTTAAGAAACTTAAAAATAAAAATGTAAACAGAGGCAGCATTCATTATTTTTAGAACTCTTTTCCTTTATAAGAAATAAATGTCACATTTTTTAAATGTTTATTTATTTTTGAGAGAGACAAAGACAGAGCATGAGCAGGGGAAGGGCAGAGAGAGAGAGGGAGACACAGAATCCGAACAGGCTCTGGGCTCTGAGCCGTCAGCACAGAGTCTGACACGGGGCTCAAACTCATGAACCAAAAGATCATGACCTGAACCAAAGTTGGACACTTAACCAACTGAGCCACCCAGGTGCCTCACATTTTTAAACCGACAACAGAACATATGCTGACCTATGACCTACAAGGAGAGCAATAAATGGGACGGTTCACACAAAAGAGGAGCAGTAAAGGGTTTTGCTGGATAATACCTGTGTTGCCCCAGATGCAATGACTCCAAGGGAAAAGATGGCGGATCACAAAGCTAACATGGTGGTGGCAGGCCCTCCACCTCACCCAACCCCATCTCTGTAGACGAGATTTGGCAACAGGTAAATCGAACAGGATCCTTCTAGGGAGGATGATGGAGCAGGGAGCTGTTGCAGCCCTATTCCCAGCTGCAGGAGAAAGAGGCTGAAATGTCAGGCCAACCAGGATGTGGAGGGAAACGGGGAAGAGAGCCGCCCACCAGCATGACTAAGTGCTCCTGGGGACAATCCCCACTTAGAGCGCAGGAAGCAAATCTCCAGATGTTATGAGCTGCCAGATGTGATTAACTGAGGAAAGGTGAAGCTGCCCACTTAACCATCTGAGCAGCACCCCATCAAAGTGACCCAAGAGTTTTCTGCAAAGGCATTAATCACCAAAACAAATGGAGGCTCCATCCATCTCCATCCCCACCCCTCTTCATCTCTCCCTCTGATAGTCAGAACAGCAGCCTATTTTTAAACCCTGGCACCACATTCTCTCCTGGAAACATGTGGGCTCCCTGACACAGGCTGATGCTCAGAGGAGATACAGGCACACCAGCGGGACTGCCCACTCTCCCATCCTTCTCCCGTGAGGGGCAGAGGGGGTTCGGGGAGGAGAGGGCCTGACGAGGGAGCCTGCTACCCATGCAGGGGAACAGAGCGTATCTGACACTGGCCTCCATGGCAGGGATAACTGGCTTCTGGCTTCCTTCCTCTGCAAAAGGGAAGGCTGAGGCTTGGGCCAGAAGGACCCCCATGTACAGATACCAATAGCAACGGCTCAAGCCTGGGAAGAAGGAAAACAAAGCCCAGATGCCAAATCTAGCATCTTTTGAAGAGAAAGACTTTAAAAAAATAAAATAAAGCAAAAGAGTTTAAAAGGATCTCCATGTCTCTTTAACATGCATCTGATGTGCTTTAAATAAAACAGCAAACATTTTATTAAACATTGGAGACTTTTTTTTGGCAAGGTCGCAATGAAGTCAATTTACAAAAAAAAAAAAAAAAAAAAAAAAAAAAAAAAAAAAAAAGACTTTTCAAGAAAGGAGGTTGTATTATACTTACAATCGCTCCAGCTGCTTCAGATCCTGGAAGGCGCCTCTCTCGATGACGCTGACCTGGTTGTCTTCCAGATGCCTAGAACCACAGAGACAGCAGCGGTCAAGGACAAGCGGTCTAAGGGGTCTCCATGCTAGGCATCAGGCCCAGCGGGCATGGTCACTCAGCCCCTCCCACAACACTCTGCCCTGCCCCCCGCCCCCCAACTGGGATCAGTCTGGTGGGACAAGATAATTCACATGCCAGCTTGGTGTCACGGTAACCAGGGTTTCGCCGCCTGCACACTTCTACCTGACAGATTGGTTTCCATGCCTCTATTTTAAGAATGTTCTCAGCAAATGTCCCCCCAAGCACTGCAGGATGTTGCACAGAAAAGGAAGAGGTAAAAGCAGCTTCTTATGAAAACCACACATATATTCAGCATCTCTTCCCTTGGAGCTCCCTCCTCTAAGGATTCAAAAATACTTCATTAAAAAGGGCCTTCTCTGTGCACTGTCTCTGGGTCACCTAGCAGGAAGGGTGACCCTATTGTTGGACAACTGCCCATGCCAGGAACTCTGCTTGCTCAGGGCCTGGCTGTTCCCAACATCTGGGTGATGGTCATAAAAGCTAGTCCAGCCACAAACTCTGCTGACCTCCAAAGTCCTCCACTAATTAAGTGAGGTTGATTCCTGCATACGCCATATCCTAAGAATTGAGTATACAATGAAACATTTGTTTTCCTAATTAAAAAAAAATGGCAGCCTAAAATGGATTAGCTGAACAGTAGGGAAGGGAAATATGGAGGCTGCACAGTTTCCATCTAGGACTAACCCTGGTCACTGAATGAGACTTAGGAGGATGCATCTGTGATTGGAGGATGTTTGTTTGGAAGGTAGAGTCTAGGGTTCCTCTGGATTAGGCAGGAGGAGGGGTGCCCTGAAGCACCTGAAGGAAAATCAGAAGGACAGAAGGAAACTTTAGGGAAGGTTTGGCTTTCATTTCAAAACAACTGCATCTATGCTAGCCCACTACCTCCAAGGCATTTTATAACCCCTATACTTCTTGGGCTTAACACTTGGGTCTTTGCATTTATTTTCAAGTCCATCTTTCCCACTATGCGTAAGGACTAAGAATGTGAGAACTTTTTTATATATATATATATATTTTTGAGAGAGAGACAGAGCATGAGCAGGGGAGGGGCAGAGAGAAAGGGAGACACAGAATCCGAAGCAGGCTCCAGGCTCTGGGCTGTAAGCACAGAGCCCAACACAGGGCTCGAACCCTCAGACTGTGAGATCATGACCTGAGCCAAAGTCGCATGCTTAACCAACTGAGCCACCCAGGCGGCCCAAGAAGGTGAGAACTTCTGCTCGTCATCATATTCCTAGCCCTAACACAGTTGCCTAGCACAGCAGCCACCTAATAAAGGCTTTTGACAAATGAAAAGCTAAAGAGGACTTTGGGCTGCATAACATATTGATTTTATATCAAGGAAAAGTCTAGTCTAGGATGTATGAGGTGTCTGACTGAGACTATCAGAATGATAAGGGTATTTTGTTTGGGTTCAATGACATTCTACATTTTTGTGAGTTTTTTTTTTTTTTTTTTT